TTAAATCTATTTAATAATCCAGATCTTTCTATATGCATTTATTCACAGTGATGTAACTTTTTTGAAAATTAGTTTACATAACTTTAGAACATGTATCAGCTGAGGATTTGTAGTAGAAACTTTGGAAATATTCTAAGAATGCACACCACATTACCTTGTAACAACATTAACAACAACAACAAAAAAAATCACACAATTTTACTATAATCCACACACAAGTTGTCAAAACATTATAGATTATTTTCTAGCAAGTTTAAACCTATTAAGATTTGTCTCTTATAGAAAACTGCAGCTTTTAAAATAGCAAAATACAAGACAGAAGGACTTCAAATCAATCATTAGCCTTCTGTCATGCATCTTGGCTACAACACATTTAGGCAGATTTTTGTTTTGTTTTGTTTTGCTGTGTTTTTAATCAGGTTAACAGTTTTATATGGCCTACAAGTAACAGTTTTATATTGCCTGTTATTTATAAGCCATATAAAGCAGTGTAATAAGGAATTAAAGAGTCAATAAGGAATGAAAACAAATACACTAAAACTCTTAAGACTGGGACGTCTGAACTGAATGCAAACTAGAAGATTGTTGTGGGACCACTGGGTTCAATCTGACCTCTCACACTGCCTTAAAGGTCTCCTAAGTGTTTTCCCCAACCAAGTTTCTCTTTTTCTAAGAAGTTATCACTGGTACAAGGTGTGATGACTTTGAGGCATCAATTAATATAAATTGGAAGCAGGCAAAGTATTAATTAAACATGATACTCTGATTATTTAAACCTTCTACTAAAGTTGATTATTCAGAGCATGTTGATAGCCTGCTCTTCAAAAATGACTGATGATATCAAGCTTTACTGACTTCCTCTAAGTCTACTATTTCCAAGTCTTCAGAACAGAAGGAATAAATGAAGTGAGAAGAACACGGGGAACAAGTCTAATAGACAAACTGACTAATCTCAGATCCCCAAGGTCAAAGCAAAGCAATTCATTTCTTAGCTTTCATCAACACAAGACACAATTTATCAATCTAAGAACGGGACTATAAACATACATCTCAATTATATGTTCTTTGCACTGTATAACTTTTCAAATAATGGGTTGTATATTCAAAAAAAATGTCATAAGGCAAAACTCAATATATTTGCAAAAACACTGTTAATTTTTTAAAGTATATATTCAGTCATTATTACTATACATGCCATTTGGAGAAACAATGGCATTTTTAAAATTTAGATATTCCTTGGGATTCTATGACCTTCACTTTATAAACTTTAGACATTCATATCCTTCAAAATACTAATCTTATTCTAATACATTCAAATGTGGAGCCAGTCACCATGCTATAAATAATTATTAAAGGCAATATCCTTATGTTATTATAAAAGTTCAATGGCAATTATTATACTTGAAAGATTGCTATTTCCATAAATCCAAAGCTACTTTTGGAGAAAAAAAAATATTTTAAGCAAGGCCTGGGAAAACGTCTCAATGTTATAAATGTAATCACATGAACAGAGATTCTTGTCCAAGTTCCTCTCTCTCTCTCTTGTTACAACACTGAGGGCAAGTTTTTAATAGCAACTCGGAAATTGTTTTATAGAGTAATGTTAGGTAATTTGAAAGATTTCTCAAAATGAAATTACATGTACAGGGTAGTCAATCAAGATTATGAAACTTGACTCTGCATTCTATGTATTTTAAATCACATTGCTATTTTCACCGACCTAAATTAATTACCACCTTTTCCATTAGGTCACGATTTGGGGGAGATTTTATGGCCTCCATGGAGGAGGATAGTGAAAGGTGTTGTATCGTTGGCTGATGATTCATTACACCAGCTGCCAGAAAGTTGCAAGTCGCAGCACACCTGGAAATGCAGGCTCGTGACTGATGGGGAAACACATTTATCTTGGCACGTCACAAAGGAGATGGGATTGTAATTATTCTCCCTCATTACTAAAGGTATTTTGGAGCCATATCTACCTACAAAATAATACAAATTACGCATCTGGACTAGCTCCACATGATTGTACCATCTGTTCTTAACAGTCTACCCTAAATGTCTCCCCAAGTATTTTCTGTGTTTTAAAAATAAAATTCAGTTTTTAAAGACCTAAACTGATCATTAACATTGTCAGGAGATGTCATTTTCAAAATTAAGACTAATGCAAATGCTCAAACCCTGAGTTAGTTTGGTTGATAAATACATAACACAACATCAACCTTGACTGTATACTAAGGAGATTCTGTGCATTTCCTATATTTTAATTTTGAGAAAATAAATGTGTCAGCTAAGTTTTACACAAAATATTTCATGTAGGAACTAACTATTTGGGTTTTCAAATGTGAAAGAATGAAAGGTCGTCAAAGGCTTCTCTCTTCAAGCTGTTTCCCTGTTGCTCATTACATTGACCTCAAAACTGAGATTCTTCCCTCTCCCCCAAAAGTCCCTTAGCTTAAGACCTTAAGAAAGTATATAAATTTAAAAGGGCTCTAGATAAATTTCATGAAGTTTGTAAAAATGAAAATTTCCAGAAGTTGATAATATCTCATCTAATATAATCACAAGTAATAAACTTTGCTTTTACTGTTAGTTTAAAATTATTATAAAACTGATATATCTCATGTTTTTCCCTTTAAAAGGTAGGCTTGTTTTCTCTAAATATAAAATGCCAGTGAAATCTGTACACAAGAATCAGAGAGATCAGGAAATTCATAGTCAACTTCAGTACTGAAAATGTAGTGCATAGGTTTCAATATGATATGCAATAATTTTTCATATTTCTTTCAAAATCACTAAAGAAAAATGTTTTTCTTAGAATACTGAAACTTGGATAATACTATTATCTGAATAACAGTTTACCTTTCTCTAAAATAAGAATATATCAGTAACATTAGTAAAAAGAATAATGTAGAGAAAAAGTGACAATCGCTAATCTAAGTACTTGATACATATTGACTTACCAACACAACCAGAGAGGTACGTGCTGTTGTTCTGTTTTTTGAGATAAGAAAATTTCTTTGCAACAGAAAAACAAAACAAAACACTGAATCACATCACTATCACTATTCCTTAGTATTTGTATACATTGAATCATGGACATTATCAGTGTGAGAAACTAAGAAATGAAATTAAATTAAGGAAGAAAAGAATTAAAGAGAATTCTTGACTGGCAAGGCACTCTGGTAGAATATATCCAAAATTCAGATAGTAACAATGGCAGAGAGAGTTTAAAAATATACTTGATGTACACATTAGTAATGTATACATGGCAAATAAAATTAAAGTAACACTAAAAAAGAATTTGAACTACATCTCTGAAGTACTATTGTAATAAATATAATGTTTTAGGTCCATAAACCTACAATTTGCCATGTTTTTCCATAATAAATATTCCCTGACATTAGATTTTAGAAGTGTGTCTCTTTAAAATGTTTTCAGATTCAAAAGTTACAGTCCTAATATAGTTATTTCTTTCACATATGGGAAACCCAATAAATATTTTATGTAAAATCTAGTTAAGAGCAGTCTTTTCTCTGTGTCTCCACTTATACACTAATAATTCTCAAGTACTTCACCTATTTTTTCTGTAAACATTAGATTTTACTGTCATAAGTTAGTTTATCATTTCCAGGTAATGTTAAAACTGGTTCCTGGTAAATAGTGTGTTCTCTGCCTTCAATTCCAGTTATAAATATGACAATACTATAATAAGTTGGTCACATGTCTGAATAAAGTAGCTTTCTCCACAATGATATTACATATTGGTTTGCATAACAGTTGAGTCAGTCATATTGAAGCATCCTGTTAGCATTCATTGCTGGCTGTGTCTGACATCCTTCACCTGGCCAGATCTACCTCCTGACAGCCATCTCCCAACTGTTTACTACCTCCCAATACACCAGGTGCCGGAATTCCTTGGTCCATCTTATCTGCATTGACCCTTAGGCATCTTCTCTGATGTCCAGGTTATTTCATGCGGACCTGCCTTTGTACTTGCTCCTTTTCCTAGAAGTCAAGCAACCTCTACCCCCTTCTCTTTTTCATTAGTTACATGGGAAACTCTTACTAATTCATTCAAGATTCTGCATTAGCAGCATCCCTCCAGATAGGGTCAAGTACTTGCTCCTTTCTTCTCTGCCACACCGAGGAAGTAACCTACTATGATATCAACCACACTGCTACCTTTACTTGTTTACAGCTTCGACTCATTGACTAGAAAATAAAATCTTCAGAGACAAACCTCATTTATCATGGAAGATGCTCCAACATGGTTGGAGCACAGCAGGTATTGAATAAAAGTAAGATGAATTAAATAACTTTAGAGTTTATATTTTGCATTCTGCTTATTAAATTTTCCCTCTTTTCCCCACAAATTTGCACGTTGTTTTTCTGTACAAAGTCAAATGTTTATGGGCAAAACATAATATTAATTCATATTTCTTAGCCTGTGTTAGAAACATTATGTAAATCACCATTCAATCATCCAATCATCACATTGTTATTTAGAAAGAAAAGGTAAAATAATGATTCAGGTCTCCAAATTCACAACTTCCTATGATATGCTACATGTATTTCCATGCTTTCATAACTCTTTTCCATTAATTACATTATTTTATTTAATCAAATAGTTATGAAAAAAAAAGAACATGTATTACTAGAAATAAGAACTTTTTGAGCTCAAGCTACACTTGCGTCTGAGAGTTAATATCAAGTTCATTGTATGTGTTTATGTAAGACAGGTTACTAAGATACAACTCTATTCTTTTTTAGGTTATAAGAAAATAGTATTGAATATATAATTTATAATTAAGTTATTTACACATAATTTATGATAAAATCAAATAAATTGTATGTGCCTAAGATAATGTCAATGACATTGGTGGTGAAGATGATGGTGGTAACTGGCCCCCACTAAACTCCCTCTTTGGCTCTGCTTTTTCAACTAGGTAATCTTACATTCTATTCCTCATAAAAATTTCAGAGTAAATATGGCTACTTACTTTTCAGGGTTGTCTACTTCTTCAGTAACAAAATTGAGGTAAAACCTAAAAGCATACAAATTAGCAACTATTAATATACTTTACCACTGTAATCAAAGTTTCACATTTTAAATATTTAAAATTGAACACAGATTATGAAAACTTCATTAAAAATACTTATAGTACAATGAAAATATCTAGCAACAAAACCCCCATAGATTATTTTTCTATTAAGCCACACACACGTGAAGTGCTTCTAACTTGAACAGTAGGGATCTGAGAGTGGAAAATCCCGTAGTTTCTCTTCAGTGCAACACATGGGAGCCAGAGGTGGAGTTAAGCCCAGCCTGGGAGGTCAAGGGGAGATTTTTAGAGGAGACATCCCCCAACCTGAGTGTCAAGAACTCTTAATATTTAGACTGGGTGCAATGGTGCACACCTGTAATACCAGTGACTCCAGAGGTGAGGCAGGAGGATCACAAGTGCAAAACCAGCCTCATCAATTTAGCAAGGCCCTAAGCATCTTAGCAAGACTCTGTCTCAAAATTAAAAATAAAAAGGGTTGGGGGTGTGGCTCAGTGGTTAACACTCCTGGGTGGTAGCCCTGGTGAGGAGGCGTGAGGTCTTCCAGGCTGAGTACAGAAATGTGTCAGGGTGGTTATGCCCAATGACATATGAGCAACAGTTTAGTATTCTGCAGTTCTTGTGTGGCAGAGGAAATGGGAAGAGAACTTATAAGATGGCCTTTGCCCCCTCCAAATTCAGAAGTGGAGACATATATCAAAACTTACAGTGCTATAAGACAGTAGCATTTCTAGATTTAGGGAACTGTTATTGACTTCCTAGACAGAAACACGGTGTACAAGTCGGAACCACAAATGGTAGAATAATAAACATTTCAAAACTTCTGGGGGGGGTAAATTTCAAATGTTCTACCACAAAAATAATATTTGAGGTGATGAATATGTCAATATGCTCGATTTAATTATTCCACATAATATTCATAAATAATAACATCACTTTATACCCCATAAACATATACAACTCTAATTGTCAATTTGTAATTAAAAAATAGAAATGTGATAAATCCTCAATTCACACATCTTCCTTTCGGGTTAATATGTTCCAAATAACCTCACGTCGCAGGACTGTTCTCATTTTTTTCCCACGTAGGCCTGTTAATTTCAGGCACATCCGTAGTCTTTGCACCATAAATCACCAACTAAAGAGCAGGAAATTTTGTACATTTTTAAGTCCACAACACTTTCTGGGTCTTTTTACGTGAGAAGAAATATTCTAGGCATACAGTAGGTTCCTTTCAAGCTCCACAGGATTGCAAGTAATACCCAAATATCGGGGCCCTAGAGAAATTTCCTTCACTTTATGACTCTCTCCATCCCATATGGGATTGTCTAGCACTCGAATCCTGGAGTTTGTTTTGTAATCTGAACTGACTGCTAGCCAGCCTTTAAGCCCTCATAGTTCTTTATTCGGTTTTCACAATGTAAGGCTGAGGCAGATTCCATCATGAAGTAAGCATGGATAGATGACTAGATCATGGAAATGGGAAAACTGAGGGACCATTAAGAAAAGAAAAAGAACTAAAAAAAACAAAGAACTCGCTATCTCTTCATTTAACTAGGAAATCATATTTTCAACCTACTCCTGATATCTTATTTCGCAGAAGGTTAAAAATAACTTTTTACATGGGTACACAGGAGCACAGGTCTTGATGTACAAATTCTCTACATTCTAAAATTGATGGTTGGAATATTAGCCCATCAGCTAATGTGCTTACCTCACAGCCTAAAAGAAAGAAGAGGAAACCTGTCTTGCTCCATCTTCATGGAAACCTTATCTAAATTCTCAAGTAGGAGTTGACGTTCAAGGTGAAGCTGCCAGCAATTGGAAGGACTATGCTTTAAGTAGTTCTGTTTGAAACACTGAGAGAAGAGTAGTGATAAAGGCGATATAAAAGGTCAGTAGCCAAGACATTTTTTTAATGACTAGAAAGTTAAATTTCTAAAAATAGAGGTTGTCATTATACTAGGAAAGCAAGCAACAGTCAGTGCATACATCTGGAATATGTTCTTTGAGAGAGATTTGATGTGCTTGTTATAAGCCTCAGGCAATAGGAAGAAAATACAAGTACAGGAAGAAAATGAAAAAGAAAAAATCATACATGAAGAACTGTTTCTAGATTTCTTATGTCAAAGATGGCCAGTTTCTTCTTAAAGGTTGCTTTAGAGACTAGTCTTTTCCAACAATATTAAAGCAAGAAGGGGAAAGAGTTATGAAGAAAGAATTTAACTTCAAATGTTTTCCATGGTTCCAGAGAACAGCAGAGAGGAGGAGAGGGAAGGAGAAGGGAAGGGAGGAAAGATCTGGGGCAGGGAGTGGAGGAAAAGAAGGAGAAAGCTTCTTATTTTAGTCCAAACATCACATCCTGTGGGAAATAGACCTTTATGCTCTGTGATCTCCAGCCCTGAGTCCACAGAATTCTTGGGTATTCTATCTCCTCAAGGCCCCCAGAGATGCTTACAGAATCTTTTGTCCCAGCTTTTCCATGATTGTGCACAAAAGGCTCTGTAATGCCAGCAGCACATTCCAATACCCAACCATGTGAATTATTTTTAAAAGAAGCTTATTCTGTAGATTAGATTTGACACAATGGTACAAAATAATCCCAGCAGGTGCTTTAGAAAGACTAAGTCCATTGAGGATAAGCTTTAAAAGGGAGGGAAAAAAAAGACAACTGAAAAACTACTTTCTGGCTCACGGTTTAGGGAAGAAAAAAATCCCACCAAGCAATATTTAACTTTGGATCAAGATATGGGATTGAAATTGGTTTGGTTCCCCAGAGCCACAGGGGGACTGGCAGATGTGTTTCTCTGAATGCAGATATTGGCAACAGTATTAAAGTTATTCTGACCCAACTCTGTGACCTCGCTGGGTTAATGATTTCTTTTCCCCTAATCATGCTTCCGTGAAGGAGTTTTCATCATTCTGGAAAGGTTCTGTGCTCCTCAGAGCCCAAAGTTGATTCTATTCAGGTTCTCCAAGGTTCAGAGGTGTCTTTTTCCTATTCAACTGCTCAGAGCGAGCAAGGTCCCCAGGACAACAGTGGTCTTGCTTCTTTTCTGGACAGGCTAAGAAGCTGGCCAGTAACCTTGGTGACAATAGCTGCTTTGCTTCTGTCTGCCTCATCTGCAATGCCTCCATTTTATTTATTTATTTATTTATTTATTTATTTATTTTGGGGGGAGGTTAAATATTGTCCCAGCAGCAATATAGGAAGTGGCTCATTTATGGTCCCCTGTTTATGATTCTATGTCCGAGTCTTTTAAGACTCGCATGTAGAGTCACATCATGAAAGATGGAGCTGTCATATGGTAGGACTCACATTTAGAAAGTGAATAAACGCCTCTCTATTGGGGAATTTTTTTAGGCTCTATCTTCTCCACTTGCATCTGATAGTAACTTTTCTTCTGGAATTCCAAACCAATAGACTATTTTCCTAAACACAGCATCCTTTTTTTCTCAGACTGATAGCTGTACATCAGCCACCAGAGCATTTCTACCCTCTCCAGAAAGCAGTGTTCAGAGAGTGTAGCCACCCATTAGAGAAGCACAGTCACTCTCTGTCTCCTACATTGAAATCCTGGACTTATTTTCCAACGCTGTGATTGAACCCTCAAGAATATGAGGAAATTGGGAGCTTCTTCCTCTTTCAAATAGGGAGTAGACATAAGGATTCTGTGATGAGAGCATAAAGCTTTTTAGAAAACCCTTCCATCCTGTAAACAGAGTCATATTTTGGGTTCAGCATCAACAAAATTCAATATTAATCAGATAATCAGAAATGAAAAGACTCTTTATACATGGACAAATCTGTTGGCCCTCAAAAGCCTCAGAAGTGGAGGGACCTGGCACCACATAAAGCAGGTGACCAGAATATTGAGCCGGGTGGTGGAGGAGTGAGGAGAGAAGTCTTTTAAGATTCCATGGGAACAGATGCAGGGGACTCACAGGCAAGAGAACTCCATTCAACAGAATTAATCAAATCTCTCTTGTGATGGTCTCCATATTCCACATTCCTGACAGAATACCACCAGGCTCCCAGCGCCTGGCTGTGGCTGAAAGCTTTTGCCACCTCCCCACTCCACGCTGAGGCTTCCAGAGACCCTCAGAGTAGCTTGGCTGCTGCCCCAGGCCACTAGCTCTCACTGAGGCTGAATAGCCAGGGAAGAGTGGATTCAGCCTCTAAGCTGTGATCACACTCGGTTCTTTTGTCTGCCTAGCACCACATTGTGCTTTGGACAAAAGTAAAAGGACTTCAAAAACACTGAGTGATTAATGCTTACACACAATGACTGTAAAAATATTCTGGGAATATACAAATATTTTCACACTGGTCTCCGAGCTACAATCTTCAGACAACCTTCAATCATATTTTGCTTCAAAGCCATGCTAAAGTTTTAAGTTGCTATATGCTCTTCCTTTTCCTCTAATGCCATATTTTCATAATTCAGTGAGATTAGTAGGTACATTTATTTTGAAATACCTTTATATTTCCCTGCATTAGATGGAATTTAGGAGCCTAAAAGCTTAAAGAAACAAAAGGAACTTATATTTGTGTTTGAAATGTGTTTACATAATTTTTGAGCTAGTGAAGTTTCCTGGTATTATTTTGTAGGTCCTAGAACGTTCTTATAGCTAAAGCTATTTGTTAGTGTTATAAATAAATAAACAAAATGGTGCCATCATTTACTCCAAAACAATGAAAGTTAATCTTACCACACTGCTTTGGATGTTTAAATGATATTTTGGGGCCTACAGGGCTTTCTTAAAACTGTCATTTCAATTAAAGCTTACTAGATAAATAAAATTTAGTTAGGGGAAAGTTCCATATTGATTCATAATTATTGTTATCCAATCACACCTTTCCACTCCTCCAGTCACAGGAATCATATCTGCGGCAACATGACTTTAATCATCTTTGTGGCATACTTTTATTTTCAGATGTTGAGGACATTCTGATGAATTTCTAAGGTCCACTAAAATGTTACCCATGTTCTGGTACAGGTGATTTTATTGTCTTGGTTTCTCCCTTCCTGCCTTTAGGAAACCATTTTATAACCTCCTGGGAATGCCTCATTTATTTCAGAATTTTTTTCTTTCTCAGGGGAAAGTAGAAAAAGTTCATTAATCACTATTTGTAAATATCTTTGGAGCTTCAGCTGAAAGACCTTTTGACAAGCCAAGTACTAATCTTTAGTACCTAATGGCACCGTTCTGTCCCCACGGATACATAATTATAAGTGATTTATGCTGGCTCTTAAGACCCAGTATTTGTTTGTTTCTTATGACACTGGGCTAAATCTGGTAGTGACCTTGATGGTGTTGGGACTTAGAAAACAATACCCGAAACTCTGAGCCTTGGCAGGCTGAGTACTGTCAACTGAAGGAAACAAACAGCCACAAAAGTAAGATCTCTCTGACCTCTTCCCACCCTTCTTTCTTGGGTTTCCTTTCCTTCCAAGGCCAGCCATAAAATTTAGAATTCTTTTCTCCAAGGGGGATCCCAGGCTCCTCTCTTTCCCCCAAACAAGCCAGAGGATCTAGAAAATTACTCTAACTTCTGCCTTTCTGTTTAGGAGCTGGACATAAAGAAATGCCCTGATTAACTTTGTCTGATAGTAGGTCACAAGACTCTTGTTCCAAAGGGCTCCTTCTCTGAACCCCTGGGGAGGGCAGGGGCAGGGGATGCTATCTGGAGACTCCACGAAGAACCTGGGTGGACAGGCAGACCTTCCTGGGTTCCACTCTCCATCTATTACCATTCCTCGTGTGCAAATAGACAGTTTTCCCTGAGTTTGGGGGTCTTCATTTCTGAGCACTCCCATGTCGTCTTAAACTTTGGTTAAGTCACTTGACATGCTTTTCTCTTAACCTGTCTTTTGTTATAGGTGTGTTGACCATGGTCCTCAAGCTCATTGAAGGAAAGCATCACACTTTTCCACTCCTCCAACACCAGCTTTGCGTTAAGTCATGTGCAGGGTAACCGGCCTCGTGCAAGGGACTAACCATACTTCTCATTTCAAGTACCATACAACACTGGAGCACAACCACCCTCATTGGCCTGGCACCCTGCTTGACATTTAATCTAAGAACCTAAAGGAATAAATGGACCATACAAACCATCCAAATCCAGAGAGATCAACTTACCAGCCAGCATAGGCATACATTCCGTAATAAAAAGCCAGGGGCAATCCCATAATACTGGCATCTCTTCCTGAAAAGGCATCTTTAAAGTGTTGGGTTTGCCCTGCAATTAGAATAGAAAGACTTTAGAGCTTTACAAAGAATTGGTTTTTATTTCTTCTAACCATCGTCCCTGGGAAAAGAGACCTAATCACTCACTCTCCGCTTGTTGCCAACTTTACCTGTTAATACTGTACCCAAGCTAAAGAACAAGTCCCATAGGTACGTTGATCACCACTCATACAATTTCATGTTTCCCTTCTAATCATGTCATAGCCAGGATGACATCTTAAAAACCAGCCCTTGTTTAAGTGAGCTCATACTTCGACCATGAAAGAAGACGGAAGGATTTTCTGTGAACTGTAGCTTTTAGGAGTGGTCTAGTGTGATTTTTAGGAGTGCAACGCTTGGGAAGAAATGCAAAGAAATATCCAAGGGTGTACCTCCACTGAAGAGGCAGGGAAACACTCCAGAGTTGCTGTCCCATGTCTTTAACTTCCTGTTTGTCCCATGCAGACCATTAGACACCAGCCTCTGGAACAGGAGTTGAAAACTTTGCAGACCAAATCTGCCACACCAACCTACAAGCCTCTTTTTAAAATAAAGTTTTATTGGTGTACATCCATGCCCGCTCATTTAAGTGTTATCGTCTGTGGTTTATTTCACTCTATGCCAGCAGAATTGAGTAATTGCAACAGAGACCATGCTGCCCACAAAGTTGAAAGCATTTCCTAGCTGGTCCTTATTGTTTATTACTATTGTAATTATTATTAATTAGAGGTACTGGGAGTTGAACTCAGGGGCATTTTACCTCTGAACTAAGCTTTTTATGTTGAGACAAAGTGTCCCTAAGTTACTGAGGCTGGCCTCAGCTTATGATCCTCCTGCCTCAGCCTCTTGAGTAACTGGTATAGGTGTGCACCACCATACCTGCCTACCAGTTGCTTCTTTAAAGAGAAAGTTCATTAACATGGTCCCAATATCACAGTTTTCATTTAGAAACACTGAATTCTAAACTATGTTTTAACAAATTTTGCATTAACAAGTAGATTTTTGTTCATCACTTTTTTTTTCTATTTTGAAAATTGCAGAGGATCCTTTTCTTGTTAATCTTTTATGTAGTTCAGAAATCAGAAATTCAGGGCTAGGGATATAGCTCAGTGGGTAGACTGCTTTGCTTTTCATGCACAAGGCCCTGGGTTCAATCCCCAGCACCACACACACAAAAAAAAAAAAAAAATCATAAATTCAAACTAATTTTAGTGAGCTGATATTTAAACTTTAGCAGAAAAAAAAATAGCAAATGAGATAACCTAAATGGGAAATGACTTTGTTTCAAAGTCAGTCCCTATATAAACAAACAAAAGTAGGTTGGGAGATGGTTGATGTAGAAGACATTCTCTTTTAAGTCAAATGTCAGCTGTTGCCTGCACTGCCAGACAGGATGTTTATGATGACACACCGTGAGTGAGTCTGGGGACTCGAAACAGAGAATGTGGAGTTGTATTCTAAGCTATTTTCCCCTCAAAGTAACCAGTTTCCAAATATAACTTAATTTTTTTAATAATATAGTGAATCAGAAATGCCTGTTTAACTAAGACATCTCTGTGTCCTTACAGAAAGAAAATATAAATACTGGAATTCAGATGAAAGCATCTGCTGAGCATACTTCTATCATGATTGGCCTGAAGGGATAGTAACACTCAAGAGCGCAGGACCAGATGAAAAGAAGAAACCTCTGCAAAGGCTGACACCCAAGCACAGGCCTTCAAAAGTGCCATTTTGTGAGTGCTACAAAAGAGAGGCATTTTATTTCTAAACTTCGGGAATATTTTGGCTGCATAACAGAGGTCTCGAGAAGATGAAAGTCATAATATTCAAAAGAAAGATCAACAAGTCCTCATAAGTGAATACACAACATTCAATTATTTTCAGGATCTGATTAGAGTAAAAACAAATGTGCAATATGTGTTAGGGAAGTCGTTGTCCCCCTGCAGTCTCAGATGAATGAAAAAATATGTGATTAGGTTAGAAACAAAGAAAATCATGATTTTTTATAATTTTATAGTAACAGAGAAAATGTATTTGCTAAGAATGCTCTCCAAGATATTCAAATTTACTTTGTGGTAATATTCACAGATGACTTCTCTGTTGGAGAACTAGGAAGAGTCCTGGTCATATCAAGCATTGATGCCATAAGTATTAATGAAAATATCACTCCATTGTAATGGCCAGACAGACCCCAAGAGCTATATTTTGATCCGTGGTCTCAAGGAACCTGCAATACATTTGGTCAGTCAAACCCCACCTCATATACATATATAATTAAGTGTTCAAGACTGACTAAGGACTACAGTGCTACCTACAATGCCTGACATTTCACCAAAGAGAAAAAAATGAGTCCCATCTAGTAGACCATCTGACCCAGGAATCTAAACCAGAACTAAACCAGGATTGGTGACCAGGGATTTCTGTACTTTCCAAACCATGAAGGAACTCATTACAGAAGAAGAAAGTGAGAACAGAACAGGCTATTTGGCCTACTATTCCCAAGGAACGAGACAGAATATGTGCAAGCCAGCTCTGTGGAGGCTGAGGTGAAATTAACAGAGCAAGCTCAACTGGTCTCCTCAGAACATGTCGTCTGTGTGGTATGTGGTTCTGAGCTGACTGAGGTTGCTGGAGAAGATGGAAGGATTTTGCCAGAAGGACTCTAAGATCTCCCACCAAGCTTATTCAATGGACAGCAGCTGCTCCCTTTCCCAGCTGCAGAGTGACCAGTCTTTTGACATTTGTTGTTATTTGATGCCTCTACAGAGAGCAATAACTTTGCTGAATTTAGCATTTGCCTTTGCCTTACTGCGGTTCTTCATTGAACTTCTCTATGAATGCGCTTTCTTGGGACAAACAATATCAGTGTAAACACTAAATACTTAACATGCCCAAGGTATATGTCACCTCTTCACAATTTCTTTTCTCTTTTCTACTGTGTTGCCCATGGCCAATTAAATAACTCAGGTGGACCTCTTTCCCTGCCAACCATTTCCACTGAATTCAAGCAATGGCATGTGACTTCTCTCCCCAAACCACTAAAACTCCAAATGACATCCCCCCTCAACTTCTGTTCTTATTAAATAATATCCAGAAAATATGATGTGTCTGTACTAAAGCAAGTTTTACATGAAAAATAATGTAACCATAGAAGTTAAATTTTTACAACTGTTTTGATCATCCCATAAATATTTGGTTTTTAGGAATATCATTCACATATCTGACTCCTCTTCTGAGGATATCACTCTGAAGATAGAAAAGAATAATAACCAGAAAATAATAAAATAAATAAAATAAAAATAATAAAATTATTTTTCATATTCATTATTATATAAAATATTTTTCATTATTCTCCAAAAATCTTTCTCTTTAATCTTTATTACTGCTACTGAACAACTTTAAAGTGAAAGTGAAAGAATGCATTTATCTGTAGTTAAAGCTACTTGCAGATTTTTCCCCCCGCTTTGGATCTTCACTCCAGTTTTTGTGAATAGAATTCACTGATGCCCTGTTTGAATGCTTGGCCCAAATCCTCTTGCTGCCATTCAACAGTAAATACCAACTTACCCCAATGTAGCAGCCTTTCAAATCAATTAGATGACAGTCTAGAGTTTAAGTTCCATGAGCAAAGACTAATTAAGGATTCTGCTAGTACAAGCAAAAGTTAGTGTTAGAAGAGATCAAAAGCAGATACGTATTTTAAAAAGCATTTACTTTTCAGTCCATACCTTTAATTAGCTGTATAACTCCAGGGACTATAATTATCAGAATTGCTGTGAGCTTGCAAAAGGTTAGGAAAATCTGGATCCGGGCACTCCAGCTGACACTCATGCTATTTAGAACCATCACCACAGCTGCAAACAAACAGCCAAAGTTACAAAAGGCAAACCCTCATGGGCACAAAGACATCTTAGGTCCTCATTACTCAAAGAGAGATCTACAAACCAGCAGTGTTGACATTACCTGTAAGAGTTTTAGAAATGCTGAAATGCCAAATCTCGGCCCCACCCCAGACCTAATGAATGCAAATCTGCATTTCAACAAAATCTCCAGGTGATTTTATGCACATTAAACTTTAGAAGCTTGGATAAAACCTCTAAACAGAATTTCTCTCTGTTCTTTGCATACCTCTCTAAGAATGGATATATAGTGTAGGGCTCTGATGATCAAACCAAAATATCTTGTACTACCAAATCCTGCAGCCATCACAGTGCACAAATTGCTGAATTTTACTTTTTAGCTTCACCTGGCAACAGTGTCCTCTCTAGGTGATGGCACCAAGGTGGCTCCCATTCAAGAAGGAGTAAAAAGTAGAGAAGTTAGATCTTAGTCTTCACCCTCAGCCTTCTTCTGGTTTTTCTCTAATTACGATTCTCACATGAAAGGTTGACTTCTAGCCTACCCAACAATCGTTTTAGGACTTGAGTAAAATGTCATAAGAATTTTCAGATTAGGATGCACCCTGGGTCCCGAGCCAACAGAATTTCCCATTCTTAATGATGTTGCCCACAGTTTCCCAAGCTGCAATCACCACCCCACCTTGTGGACCATGAAAACTTCAAAGAGAGAACATGGACTATTCATCTCTGTTTTGCCAAAATCTAGTTCCATGCCTGGTCCACAGAAGTAACTAACACATGTTTGCTGAATGAATGGATGAACTGTATTCTCAGAAAATCTAAGGCACATGGTGTATAGAGATGCTCTAAGACCTTCTTCCTCTAGCTGGCTGGAATGACAGGTTATACTAGACAGTGAATTTCAACTTTATGCTCTTTCCAAATTACTTTGCATAGTGTTAACAAAAACAAACAAAAAACAACCCCCAAACAACAACATCAATAAAGACATCAAAAATAAATCAAAATAGTTACTCTACTCCTGACATTTATGGTTATTATCTATAAACATTATTTTATAAAGATGCATTTTCCCTAAACAAATATAAAAAAATGTCTAAACTATTTCTCAGGGGATGAAATAAAACACTGACAGAATTTTTATAATTCAAATTGCAACTGGAAGTTTTCCTTATGTACATTAATAAGAGTTCTCTTCAGTTTTACTGCTTGATCATTAGCTCATTTCAGTGTTCATAAATTAGTGAAATGTTATCAACACATAATTTATAAAGGTAAAATTTTAAAATAATGTAGATCCTTAAAGGCAAATTTTAAAACAACCTATACTTTTAAATGTATATCCTTTTAATAAATCTATACAGCCACTTGAAATCATATTGCAATTATATAATTATTACAAAAAAGGTTATTTACAACATGTTACTGATCAAGACAGTATGTTACAGAGAGATGGATAGATGAATGGATGCATGGACAGGTAGGTTAAGAAGATAGACATATAGATAAATATAGAAAAAAAGAAGTAAAGAAAAAGATCTGAAAGAATATTTACCAAAACATTAATAGCAAATATCTATAGATGATAGAATACCAACATTCTGTATTTATTTTTTAATAATATTTCAGTATATTTTATAATAAATGTATAATTTTGGTGATTATAGCTAACAAAAGTGAAAATTTGCTTAAAGGTTCTCACCACAAAGCAAATAAAAAAAAAAAAAGGAAGCAACTAGGCAAAGTGATAGAGTGATAAGTGAATTAACTAACTTGATGTGTTACTTGATGGTAAACACTGCACAAAACCTATATACAGATGGGAATGTAGCTCCCTGGTAAGCTTTTGCCTAATATGCATGAGGCCCTAGGTACAATCCCCAGCACACCACCCAAAAAAAAAAAAAAACTATACAAAATAATTTTGCAAATACCTCTGTAAAGATGGAATTTTTGTTAATAAATAGATCCATAAATAAATTTCATTTTTAAAATAATTCATACACTGGAAAAAAATAAAGGATCCAAAGACTCTATAGAAAGTAAAATAGGAAGTTAGTAATGAGGAAGTATTTTAAAGGAGTTACTGGTGAGCATGATTGGAATGACCAAAGCCTCAGGGAAGATACCTCGTCTACATTTGAAGTCCAAGACAGAAATGATTAGGTAGGTCCATTGTCAATGGCAAAGTGTGCTGCTGTTTTATCAGGAATGACAAAAAATAAATAATATTAGCTCTCTCTCTCCCTAATAAAAATCACTTCCATACTGAAAGTAATCTAGTGCAACTCTAGGGGCCTCTCCATCATCCAGTGATCTTTTTCTATGCAAATGCCCATGTGATAAATGAGCCATCACATGAAAATTACTATTATTTTTTTTAATTAAGGAGGCTCAACGTTGGCAAGAAAGTGAAAAAAAAAATGATCTCCTGTTCCCACTAGCAACAAAAGAGTTCTGTTTTCTTTTAAACAGAGCTCCCCAAACCAAAGGCGCTCTCTGTCTCTGCAAGGACACTGCAGTAGAAAAGAGAAGGGTGGAGAAAGTGGAAAAGAGGCGATAGGAAGAAAAGAAAGAAGGAAAAAAGGGAAGGAAGGACGAAAGGGCATTCTGATTTTAGGAACAACTAGCCACTATATAGTGGAAAAGAGAAAAAAGGGTCTGTTAATCTTTAAGAGTGTAAGTAGTTAGCAATGCCTACTGAAATCGAAAAACAAAAGAAGTCTTTGGGATTTTCTTTTCTATTTAGTAAAGTTTCCATAGACAAAGGGAGACCCAAATCAAGTCACTCTCATGAATTGATGATCACACCTTGTTCTTTTCTTAAACAACTGAAACAAAAATTCTGGTTAAGTCTGGTTTTTCTCAAAGCTGTCTCAAAATCCCGTTTTCTCAGGATTTTGAGAAAGCTTGCAGGCATTGCACTCCTTATTTGGTACACCAAATTCCAGCTGAGGTGTACCTCTTTGGTCCTGAAGGTACAACCTAACAAGCAAGACAGCCAGTGCAGAGCTCTAAAGTTTCTCAAGTGACCAGAACTGCTGCTTTATCACGAGTCTGTACAGCAAATCTAAGACAGTGTATGTTGCTTATCAAACAATATTGAACAGGGATTTGGGATTCACAAAATGCAAGAGCTTTCTGAGTTTCTGAAATAAACAATATCTACTTTTTTTAAAAATACATACTATCTAACCATATTGTGATAATAAAAGAAATCTGAGCCAGCTCTCTGGTCCTAGCTTCACTTCCTTTGAGTGACTGCTAATTTCACACATGAGGAAATAATTATATCCGTTTGGATTTTTTTTTTTTTTTGCTTGCCTCAAATTTCCAAAATAAAAATACAGGGACATGTACTTTTTATTTGCTTATTTATGTTGCAGTTTTCTAAGAAGTGAAATGCAGCAACGAAAGCCACATCTATAAATCCTGGAGATAAGAAATACATATTTGAAGGGAGCTGTATTTGAAGAGGATGTTTAGGGGAATGTTAAGGATTGACACTGTGATTTAAGGACGGGAAAGTATTTCTTTCTGCATGCTCCATAATTCAAGTTGGGTTTGAAGAGAGAGATTAGAGAGTCTGGATATATTGGGTTTTCTCACCAGTTCAGATTCTTTTTGGCTTCTGACTGCTTCATGCTAAACTGATAAAATATATGAATGCTGTGTATATAGGTTACCTGGTGAGATAAAGTGGGTAGTATTGCTTTTTTGTAGTGGCTGCTTGGGTTTCCTCTTTGTCTTTGTTAGTATCCATTTTCCAGATGCATTATTTCAGAGAACCAGTCTATATTTAAGATCTCACAATCAGAAATAAAAATGGTGGACATCAAATAAATGTATACTATTATGGCCAATGTTGTACAAGAACTTTATACATAGATAATGTTATTTCATCCTCCTGTCTATGACATGGTTACTTAATATTGGCCTTATTTTTCCGGTAAGCAGCTGAGACTCAAGATACTGTTTAACTTGCCTATGTGCACTTAGGAGGTAAGTGTAAAGATAAGATTGGAAACCAGGTGGGCTAACTCTGGAGCCCACACTTTTACCATTACTCAAGGCTCAGAGAAGGAGATAATACTTCAAAGTTGTATGTGATCTCACCAGTACACACAGTTCTTTCAAACTCTCATGGTGGCTCTTCCTCTCTGCCTAGGTGCATTTTTACCTTAGCTGGGACTTCAGGACACTTCCATGCCACATTTTACTTATCATCCTCCTGAAGGACATGGTTGTTGGTCCATAGCATTTGTTTATTTTAGTACTGTGCACATCTTCCACCTATGAATTGATTGTGTGGGTAATTCAGTTACAGTAGGGAAGGAGTAGGTCTACCCAGATTCCAGAAGATTCAAAGAGCCATCCCACATGCTATATTAGAAATGCTGACACACAACTAGTTCTGGATTTTTTTTTTTTTTTTTGTCATGCAATTTAATGATGTCAGGAAAACACAGTTTTGAAAAGGAAAACAAGGCTATACATTTGCAGAACTGGCTGTTTTCCACAATGCAATATAAATGTTATTTTGTTTTCTCCTCCTAATTTCTCCCACAAGATCTGAGAAGGGGATGCAGTTCTTAACTCATCTATATAAAATAAACTAGCAAAGGAATTGAGACTCAGAGAGGGTTGTTAGGGATGGATCTGGGACTAGATCTCACATCTTAAAAAGTTTTTTTATGATAATGCTTTGCCATTCAAGTGTATACTTCCATGGGGCCTAGTTTTAGGAGACTCAATGATTTAGACATTGAACATACTTCAGTGCTCATTAGACCAACAAAGGCAGTGAAAAGAAATGGTGTTCTGTGGAAAGTAAATGGGGTAATGTCATATGGGTTATCAGAGAGCCACTAAATGTGAACAAATGGGATTTTCCAGTGAAACTTCCATGTACCTGACATGTTTACCAGAAAGGACAGAATTTTAGATAAGCAAAAACTTTCCATCTTTATTGATCTGACAGAAGTGAAATAGGATACTTTTTAAAAATGAGCTTAAATTAGCATTCAGTTAGCTCCCCACACTCATTCCACTATCATTTCTCCAAAGGTTGGTTAATATTTCACAAAATTTGAAACTCTAACTATGATATAACAAGACCCTTCAGGATTGACCTTTTTCTATCTTTAACTCGAGATTTTAAACACCTTTTTTCCCTCAAGGAACATAGGGTAGGGATTCATATAATTAAACTATTTTCTACATCTCAGTAACCTCCCACCCCTAACAGACAGAAAACCACCAATAGTTCACTTTGAAAAATAAAGGTGCAGAGATTTGCCCCCAGGTAAATTTCTCTTTCTCTATTTCCATCTAACCCCCTGTTGCTCCATTAACAAATTCTTCTTAAAGACAGTTTGACTTACCCAATTAGCCCATTGATTTAAATTACTTCCTGCTGAGTCTAGGAATATTCCTTCTGTTTTCCCTTTTTGTGCTCTGGTGTCGGAACACATTGCCTTGTCAGAAGCTCAGGCTTACAAAGGCTTATCTTACAAAATATTTCAAAAGCTAGTATTATAACAAGTGGCAAAAATAGAAGGATGTGTCTAAATTTATCCAAGAGTTACTCAGGTTTTTTGCTAACTACTCTATCACCAAACTCTACTATAGATGTTTTCTAAAACCCACATGGTTATCCTTTCTCCTAATTGCTTTACTTTAAAAAAAAAAAAAAACAGTTTCCATTTAATCTCCCAAAATACAAATTTCCCCTTTAAAAAGTTTAATGGAACTTAGATAAATAAGAAGAGTTATCTAGGGGCTGGGGATATAGCTTAATGGGTAGAGTGTTTGTCTTGCATGCACAAGGCCCTGAGTTTGATCCCCAGCACCACAAAAAGAAAAAAGAAAGTCATCTAAGTTTACAAAACTAGAAATATATCATCACTAACCATCTAATTTCATGCCCAAAGCAGCCAAAATTTGTAGATTTGTAAACAGACACATAGGTTATGATTAAAGACTTCTGTTTGTAGCTTTTAATAACTTTGATTACTAATTTACATAGCTCTCAAAAATACTACTCTTTCTCTTCTCAATTTTCATATGTTAACTGTGATATGATTCTGCCTTAGTCATTTAGGGAACAAGAATATTGTGGGCATAAAAATGGCTGTTAGTCCAATCCCTTAGTCGAATACCAGCTTTATCAGGAATCTCCTGTGGGCAAAGTACTCTGTTCAAAGTCTTAAAAATCTAACTTAATTTCATTTTCCTACAATCATTCAAGATAAATTATCTTTTCACAGGCCTTTCACCAACAAATAAAACTGAAGCTTAAAGAAGTTTAATAATTAGCCCAAGATCACATTACAAAGAAATAGTGACATTTAAGTTCCATTTCCAGGTTGTTTGTTCTGGTGAGCCACTATGTTTAGATGGTTCGTCCCACAGAATCTCATGGTGTTAGATCTGAACATCTTATCAAGCAAACTATTTCATTTTACTAGCAATTCCCCTACTGCTTGAGGTAACTGAAGCTATGCAACCTTCCAGATTTAACAAGTATACAGACTATAGACCTTTCTGCTAGAGAAACAATTCTTAGACCTTGTCTTACAAAAATCAATCAGGAGCGAAGAATTATTGAGCACAAACAGCATGCTGGGAGCTGTGTGAGGGGCTGGAAATGCAACCATGTTAAGGTCCCTAATCTCATGGAAGTTCCAATGACTTTTTCAAAAAAAAAAAAAAGCATAAATACCTACCATTTGTATTGTGCTCTTAGTAAATTACAAGCATTACCCAAACACTTCACATATATTGTCTCATTCATTGTCGCTTAATCTGTACAACACCTTATAACACTGGCATGATTTACTGAGAATACTGAGTTAAGAATGGTACAGTGACTTGCCTTCGTGTCTGTAGAGTTTATTAAAGGCACAATGATTAAGTAGGTACACCATTACCACCCCAGAATGAGAAAAATGTCAACTTGGAGCAATTTTCTTTTCTTTTCAGAGTTCTCACAGAAGAATAGAGCTGTGTACATGTTTGCAAGACAAATTAGGAAATGCACTATGAGCCTATTAAATTCAGAGATATATATATACCTAGCATCTGAGACATTTCTATATGAAATTCCTAATGCTCTCCTGCAAACTAACCACTTACCTATCGTCAAAAATGCACTGTTCTTTTTATTGTTCTATCGAAGCACCTTAGAGCAACCACCTAAACATTTTTCCATGAGTATGAAATTCGGTTATTCATATATAGCTTTCTATTTCTGAGTTGTTAAAATTTAAATCGAATTGATTCTTAAAACAACAAAATGATTAAGAATTAAGTTATCCTCTCCCATGAGATTCAAGGATTTGGTATTTGGAATCTGATAGGATGTTAGAGTCAGATTTGATTTCATTATCACCTAGGTAATTTTGTTCATGGGACTCTTGATTTTTTTTTTCAGTTTCTAAAATCTATTCACACTGATTAAAAAAAAATGAGTAACTTCCTAATTTGAAATTTGTAAAGAAATCTCCTATTGTGCTAGTAATTATAAAATCTTTAAAGAAAAGTCTTACCATGGCCAATAATAGGCATCAAAAACTATGACACTGAGATGGCAGCCTCTAACACTGTAAACAGTCTGCAGCATACACACCCAACATAGAAACATAACTCCATGATCATGGATGAGTTAGGATTCAACATTTCATGGAGATAGAATGATTTCCAACTCACAAAGATCTACAAAATAATTGGGTTTTCTTCCTTTAATCTCTTTTTAGGTACAACCTACTTAATATTTTACTGTCAAAGTGATTTTTGTTTGTCTATTTTGAAAGATTGGCCATCGTATATATCAACCCAATGCCAAACTGACATAGAAGGTAATAGCAGAGACCACTCCAAATGTGCCTTCTTTTTTCTGTTTTCCGGCACACATTTGGAACGGTAAGCAAAAAAAAGAAGATAATTTGGGGAACAGTACTACTAGGCAAAACATCTAAAGAGACTTTGTGCACAAGCCTTTTCTTCTCTCCCATGTTTATACCTGTGATACTCACTTATACCCACAGCTGTAATGAGCTTGATTGCCAGTTCAGGAATTTCACACTGAATAAAAAACGGTTCCAGGATGTAGCGTCCAAATGCCAGGGATATCACAGCTGTAGCTGCAGGGCTAAACAGATTTTTATATATTTAGGTTAACTATAGGAAAAAAAATGAACAGCATTTTCAGTTCAAGTTTTCTATCTGAAGGTGTTACTACTTAGAGATTGTGTTTAAAATGAAAGTCTATAATTTAAGAATTCCATATTTCATTAGGTTTACTTAGGCATTCCAAATGTCACAGTGCCTGTAACATTGGTGGCTGTTCTGAAACAACCTTGAGAGCAAGGCTGGGAACTATCAACTTTGTTCCTGCTCTCCCAACATTTGATACTTTTCTTTAAAAATTTACATTAGGGCTGGGGTTGTAGCTCAATGGCAGAGTGCTTGCCTAGCATGTGTGAGGCACTGGGTTCGATCCTTCACAGCACAAAAAAATAAACAAATAAAATAAAGGCATTCTGTCCATCTACAACTACCATAAAAAAAAAGTTTAAAAAAAACAAATAAAAATAAAAATTTAGGTTATTATATGAGACCCTGACTGGGCCTTCCTTATAAGAACCGGTCTTCATTCTCTTTTAAGTCTGTAATAAAACTCAAGCTATGGTATGAATTTGTTAATGGTACAGATCTAATGGAGTGGAGTATAGTGAGAAGAAGGAACACAAAATTCAACCTAAAAAAAAAAAATCAGCATTCATAAGTGTTCCTTGCAAATTAATGCAAATTCATGCCTAAATACTTAGCATTGTTTTTTTCTTGTCTTTCTAGTACAAAACCTCAAAACAAAGTGATTGTTCTTAATTTCATACAAAGAGAGAAAGGTCTCAAAGAAAAGAAGGAAATCATGAAATTTATGGTGCTATCCGGTTTCCAAGTCAAGGTTGGAAACACAGAATGGTATACAGCAACACAGGTAATAAACTATTCTAGTTTAATTCTTCAAATATTTGTAAGAGAAAAATCACACACACTTTTCCATTGTACTCATATTTATACATGAATGCATATTCTTTCCATACACATGCATCATCTAATTTCCCCTTCAGCTTCTCTTTCTTCTCCTGGTCACCTAATGCCCAGACCGGATCCAGATTATCAGAAAACCCACCACCATTCTGTGTTTCCAACCTCGAGTTGGGTGCCAGATAGCACCATAAATTTCATGATTTCCTTCTTTTCCTAGAGACCCTCTCCTCTTTCCTCCAAATGACACCATTTTTCCTGTTCTTCGTCATTTATTAAAAATTTTAATGTGCAAATTAAAATCTGATCATGTCATTTTAGCACTTTCAAAATGTGCTGTGATGGAAATGCTTTGTATTGTATTCAAGGCTTCATTCAGCTCCCTCCCACTAGAGAGATCCAAATCTCTTTTCTTCTGCCTGGAGCCTCTTCAACTCACTGGCCATATTTTATACTTCAGATTTTGGTTTCTTTTTATCTGCAGTACTGGGAATCAAACCCAAGACCTTATACATGCTCGACAAGTACTCCATCACTGAGCGACGTCCCCAGCCCAGATCTTGGTTTACTTGTTCTTGGTTCGGAGAAGCTTCTCCAACCCTCTGTCTGAGTCAGGTCTCCCCAGAGTACACTCTTACTGAATCCTGATTTCTCTTTCATATCTCTTATCATTCACTTATTTGATTACCTGATAGATAACCATTCCCCCACTTGACCCTGAATTCCATGGGCACAAGGTTATTCTACCTGAATAACCCCTCTTCCCCCATTGTTTAATGCAATGTGTACCATGGTGTAGGAACAATACGTATTGAATATATTGTGAAGGATTGAGTTCAGTTTAATGAACCATGCTATGTACTGTGGGTGATTTTTCTTTCCTTGAATGTGTTTTACAGATTATTTCTGGCAATGGTAACTTAAGGTATAATTTTAATAAGAAATATATTGGTATCATGGGTATTAGTAAAAGAAAAGAATGACTAATTATTTAGGTACCTTGTGTCTCCTCAAGTCATTTGTTTTCTGCCTATTTGACAGATCACTCCATTGATAGGAGTCCTGTATGACTAACCTATATATATCTTGGTACACACACACACACACACACACACACATTGAAAAGCTTCTAGAATTTATCTAAGTCATTTTCTCTGTACACACACACACACACACACTACACACCATTAAACAGTTTTTTCAAAATTAAAACAGCATCTGTTTATCAGTTATTTGAGAGTAGGAATTGTGACTCATTCCAATTTAGATCTCTTTATCTTGCCATTCACCATTCGGTAGCAGTTTGTGAAATGAATAAATTAATGAATGAGCACCATATCTGTGCCACTGCAAATGGAATGATCATGCTCATAAGAATACCAAGCAATTAGCCAAAGTTACACAGCAAATGCATGCTGAAGAGGGACAGGAATCTAAGGTATCAATTTATACCCAGTATATACAGGGCACTCATATAAGTAGTATAAGAGTTACAAGAAGGGGGAAAAAAAAGAGCTACAAAAAGTGTTAAAACCTGGGTTTATATTCTTGAAATGTTTGCAATTTATACAGGGAAACAGAACACAGTCACCTGAAATACTGTGTCAAAAAATACAAGGTGCTGAGTTCATTGTTAGATGAGAAGCAGAGACCACATCTTTTCAGAAGATTTAAGAGATGAAAGAAACACTATCCACTAGAATAAACATGCAATTGTCTATGAAAAAGATAAGACACAAGTTGGCCCTGGAAGAGTGTATGCCTCAGATAATCAGAAAGGAACAGAAGGTACATCCCAGGTAAGGGGACCTGAGAAAAGGAATAAAATACTCCTTTATCATTATTTTGTTATAAGAAGTTTTAAGTAATGCAGAAATGTTTGCAATGAGAATAGACTGACTTGCCATTGAAGTTTCTACTACTCTGAAGCCCTATGTTTGAAAAGAGACTCCTAACACCATAAAGATCATGATTAGTGTTAATGGGTATTCATTAGCTTTGCATTTGCCACTTACTGTAAATGACAGAATAAAAGCTCCTATTAGCTCTCAGCTATGTATGTCTGATAAGTATACAGTAAGATCAAGTTTCCCTCCTTATTTCTATTAAGCTTTGTAATCAGAAAGTGCAAGTCACATCCTATGAGGCAGTAGCTTTAAGGGACTGTGACACTCTTATGACATCATAAGTCTCCCACAAAGCTGAAGGAAACCTGCTATTCAGAGTGACTTAGCATTATTTGGTGCCAAGAAGATCAGGAAAGGGAACACATTCCTACAACAATAAAATCAAAAGATTTTCGCAACTACAGTTCACTGGTCTATTTATGTGAGGAAGTGAGTCATTTATGGTATGTAAACTTAATTTTTTAAAGAATAAGATTTGATAATACTGTTTTCAGGCACAGATGTTTCTTAGTCATAAAAATAGGGTAAAGTTAAATAACTTCATGACATAATCTACAATTCCAATTCCTGTCCTATTTGATTGTGCCTGGTCAATCAAAAGGTAAGACTTATCAAGATGGATTTTGATGCTTCATATCTTTTCAAATAAGCATCTATCCTAGAAAAGTAAAAGAGAATAATAAAAGATTAAAGGTAAGCAGTACTTTAAAAGTCTGGTGTTGTTGTTGAACCACTGCCAATGATAGAATTACACTAACAATGTTAATCCAGAAAGGTAGTGTATCACAGGTTCTCTGCTGAGTATACACATTTACAACATAGGCACATGAAATACATATTTCTGATGAGTTAAAAATAATCAAGTCACTCAGAAGAATAGGATGACTAAGGTTTATTTTTCCTTATTTTTTTCTTATATTCTTACCGTATTATGAGCAGTTCCACCCAGACTCGCACAAAAGCTAGTAATGGGCCAAACACTTCCAGAATATATGTATAATGACCTCCAGATTTCTTTATGCTTGTTCCCAATTCAGCATAGGACAAGGCTCCTGTGAAACGGTTATAATAAAAAGGTACAAATTTAATACATAATCAGGCCACCTAGTGGTAGAATTCTTACTGACGCTAATGTTGCGTGCAAAGTAACCACTTGAGTCTGAAATGACATCATCTAATTGCTGAGACTTAGCAAGTTCCTCTTCTAACTTCCTCACATTGGAGACCTACTTCATTCTATTTGAACAATGTCATTTTACTTAAAATGGTAAACATGAACTTCTAAACAATATCATATGATTCAGAATTTGGAGTTGGAAAAACCTGGGAGCAAAAGGAAAAAGAGAAGATAGATGCCAGTAGTACTGACCTGTTTTTTTGAAAAGCATAACCGTATACAAGACAAGTAATTATCCCAAACTGACCTCATTATGTGGAGAGCTCTTTTAACAAATGATGTTTCTGTGGCAAATTAATGTAAGTAAGAGTTATCTGTTCTTCAGCAAAATGTGGACTATAACCCTTGCAAGACTTAATTTAATTTGCATGATATAGTTTGTCAACACAACAAATTCTGCGGTATTCTGTTTGTGGGAAAGGTCATCCTGGACATTTTTGAAGCGTACACTCTGGATGGTTGAAAGTATATATACTTTTTAAAAAAAGAGATGCTGTCATGTACATTAATATAGGTGAAAGTAAGTATAAACTAAATAGTAACATTTAGTAATACAATTCCCATGGAATTGGGCAAGTTATGTTACCTCCCCAAGGCTCAGTTTCATTCCCTATGGAATGGAAATCTCCATTTTTACCTCCCAAGAATGCTGTGTGTATGTGACAATGGTTGCCAGACAGAGCACTGGGCCTGAAACACAGCAAACCACACGTGAAATACAGCTGTACTTATCAATTTGAACAACTAATTATCAAGAAAATGAAAAATAGATCTTAATGTCATGTGAAAAGTTCTATCTATACTGCTAAGTTTGCCTGAGTGTCTTCAGAAGCTATTCATGCAGAAAGTTACCACTTATCAGGAGTACTTCATACAGAACCGTCCAACATAAATATAATTTGGATATTCAGTGAAATCTTAGTATCACTTATCTGATTCCTGAACCTCATTTACCAGAATCACCTAGGAAATTCTGGTGTTTTTTTTTTTTTTTGAGAATTAATTTGCTTTATGGAATTTACAGTAAAGAGTATTATAAATTTTATTGTAGTCTGTAGATTGTGCGCTACACATCCTTAAACCAGTGAAATTCATAATAAATTTTTCTTTGTTCAGAGGTAGTTATGAAACATGTGCCAATCACCCCTGATCTGATCCTTCTCTTTAATACAGTATTTCCATTCCAAACGATTTCTAATGCTCATCAGTCCAAAAACTCTTGTGGAAATTCTTTTTTTAATGCAAAAACAATCAAATGAAAAGCAGACTATAGGATGATACTCTAGATGTAGCCTCTAAGCAAGAGAGTCCAGACTCACCAAAAGAGGGATTCAAAAATTCCCATGGATCATTCTTACATAACTAGTCTGCAGATAAATATTCAGGGATCACTGATAGGTGTTGTCTATTTGTAACTAATTATACCAGCTGCAATTCACCTTCTATTGGGAAAAGCTACCATGTTTGTCAGCGGTCTAGAAAAGCATCCAATATAAAATGTTATTGGAAACAGCCTTAAGTACCTCGGAATTTATTGTTAGAGAATCAATACCTGGACCTTGCTATGCTTTGCTGAAACTCTAGCATGGTTGCCCTAGGTTTAAATTGAATTCTGGGGAAATGAGATTTTCATTTAAAGGTCTCAAGTTCCATAACCATTTTGCCCAGATGAAAAAGGTTCAAAACAGGATTAAAAAAAAAATCCATGTATTGACCCTGGCATTAAAAAAAAAAAGTTGTAAATCAAATATAGATGCTTCTTCACTTGCAGAGGGGTTATATCCCCAAACCCATCTTAAGTTGAAAATACTGAACACCATAGCTTTGACTAGCTTACCTTAAAGGTAATCAGGATACTTACATTTGCCTACAGTTGGGCAAAATCATCTAACAAAAAATTTATTATTATTTTACACTATTGTAAGGTTAAAAATAATAAGTTGAACCATTATAAGTAGGAGACCATCTATATACCTACGAATTCTTTTTTTTTCTTTTTTTAGTTGTTGATATATCTTTATTTTATTTATATGTGGCGTTGAGCATCAAATCCAGTGCCTCACACGTGACAGGCAAGTGCACTACTGCTGAGCCCCAGCCCCAGCCTTATACCTACCAATTCTTGACTCTTAGTCCTAGTTTTGCTTTGCTTCCTATTAGGGAGGCATTCCTGAGAGATACTAAGAGTTTAAGTGGAAAATGCAATGCAAATATGAACAAGTTGATTAACACAAGAGCACACTTCCTGCAATTACTAATCAAAAATATCAGGTATCAGGTCCAGTGTAACCTTAGCTATGCTACACTCCCCTTAGAGTTTTTTTTTGTTTAAGCTTCTGCACAAGATATTATGAATCAGCATATTTTCACCATAAAAGTCAACATCCCTTTTACCAGTTTAGTACTCAGTGGTTTTTTTTATTACATATGAATAAACTTTTATTGTGTGCAAAAACTGAGTCATGTAGTGGGGACTGCAAGTGCATGAGTTTGCAAAGACCAGGAGAGGGTTGTCATTCTGATTACATATTGATTTATTCTAAATACCTCAGGTGCTATAGAAAGAGCAAAGGCTGGGGGTGCACAAAGTCATGTTAAAGATGATCCGCAGTTGGGTTTCTCTTAGTTTACCTATACACCGCATTTGCCAGAACCATTTAATATTAATAGTAGCTAAGGGGTCTATCAGGGTTTTTCATCATCATATGACTCCAAAGTATTTGGCAAGGATGAAAAGTAACAATGGGAAAATAATGATATACAACTGTGATATGAAATAAATAGTGTAAGAAGTACAATTCATTCACATAAATAATACCACAAACTCTTAAGACCAACAAAAATAATTCCTCTAAGGATATTTCTATACTAAGACTTTGCTTTAACAGACTTTACTTAAAACACCTTCTTCCTAAAAATGGAAACCTGAGTCTTCTAGATGACTGCCTCAGCCATCACAGGACCTGAGCAGAAGGAATGAATGGATTGGTACACAGAGGACCAACCAAGAGTTAGCACTTGGTCTTAGTGTTAGAACAAAGAGTTAGTAACTATAAACTGTAGTATCTTTTGAAATCTAAGCACAGTATGTTCCAAAGAGAGCAAATATATCTTAGACATCTACCCCATGTCATAAATCAATTTTTTTTTAACAATTCGCCAGCTTTTGTCACCTTTATAATTAATTCAGGTAGCTTTGTAGTAATTCGCTCACCTGATGAGAAGGCATTTATTTTCTCTTTAATTTTAATTCTCAAATCAATATAAGAGAAATATATTTTGGGAAAAAAAATAATAAGTATACTTCTTGTACCAGTTCTCTTCAGATCAATTCAGTGAACAGGTGGACAAATTATCTATGTCCCTGGAGACCAAGTGAAATAAATTAGATGAGAAAAACAGATCTTGGCAAGTACAGAAAACTAACATCCAACTGCAGTTTTTAAACTTATATTGCAAGTGTTTACAGATGTTATGATTTTTTTTTAAATGCCTTGAAATATGTTGAGGCCATTGCAACATTCTCGATTTGTGATTGAATCGAGTTCTGTCCATCACACATCTTTCCATGTCCAGCTATTTGAAAGTTTGGAATTGACAAGCACACGAACCTAAAAAAATTCGGAAGGAAAAGACTGCCACGCATTTGTTCCGCTAATAAAAAGTCAGGAAGACTTCTGTGAACACTGAGTCCTGCCTCTGAAGGCCACGCCAGGTTTCACCTCACAGGTGTTTCTTGTAGCCATCCAGCTGCCAGAACGCCCCCAAACCGACACAGCCGAGCACCACTGCCCGGCACAGAAAGTCCGCGTGTATTTTCTGGGTCGTCAAAGTTAACTTTTTGCTTTCCTCAGCACAGGGAAAGTCAGGAAAGAGTCTGTTTGGGTCAGAAAGAGAAGAGGATAGCCTGCAGGAAGCCGTTCGAGAGCATTCAGGATCACGCCAACCAGGAGCACGGTGTGTGCCTAGTGCACATACCCCAACACGAAGGAAAAAATCCTTGTAGCTCTTGCCATTCATTTACTCTTGGCTTTCCCGGAGACCAGAACTTTCCAGCCCCACGCCCACACACATCCCAGAGAAGGAGGTGCACTCACCAAAAAGGGACAGGACCCCACAGGCGGTCCAGATGACGAGCGACAGTCCCACGCTGCCTGTGTTCTGCAGCACGCCCTTGGGGGAGATGAAGATCCCGGCTCCGATGATGGTGCCCGTGATGATGGAGATGCCCCTCAGCAAGGTGATCTTCTTCTTCAGCACCACTTTCTCCGGCTCCGGGGGCTCGCTGCCCCCCGCGGAGGGCAGCGCCCCCTTCCCATTTCCCTGCAGGTAGCCTCCTTTGGAGATGGTGGCCACCACGGGCTTTCTGACCATAGTAGTGACACACGGGGCAAAAATCAAATAGGGGAAGAAAAAGCAAAACTTTCAACTTTTAGTGTCTCTTGGGGTGACTGATCGGTCTCCTCCTCTTTGCTTTCAGAGTGTCTCAGCGCTATTGTGTTCACAGGTGAAAAACTCAAAGGTGTTATTTTATCCTTCAAAGCGCTCGAATGACTCTCGGGCACCTGTGTGTTCCCGGGGCTCTCGGTCCCTGCTCCTGGTCCCAGCACCGTGGCTGCCGCCCGGGCTCCGCCGCCCTAGCCTTATGAACCAGCCCAGCTTCCTCATGGGCTTGTATTTAAGCTCCCGCCTGTCACATCAATTTACTCCAGCTACATGATGATGCAAATTCTCCAGGTTTGCATCAGCCACCGGAGAAGCCTCCAGCATTACTCAGCTTTTTTTTTTTTTCAAACGGTAGCAGCGTGTTGCTTCACCGACCTAAGCTTTTCGGAGAACAAAGCACACACTTAAAAGAGATCTTAACCAATCCAGAAGAAGTCAACTCAGAACAGATCTTCTCACAAACTTAAAGTAACTCCTGTTGAGAGAGGAAAGCCCTGCGAGCCAAAAGAAAATGAAAAATGAAACAGGAAATGATGACTTAGTTTTTTAAAGAGTTTTTTTTTTTCTCTAACTCACATATAAAACATGTTTCACACACAACTTGTTAATCGAAAGCACCTAGAAGCTGCATTGTTTATAGAAACAAAATTTAGATTTCGTAATATATATCTTACTGATTTTTTTTTATTTTGTGTATCCTAGCAACACAATTAATTCTATGTATTTACAGAGTTAGAAAGAGTCTATACTCTGTAAATTCTGCCTGTACACGCATAACAAGTGTAAGTCTTAACCAACATTAAAAGACAAAATCATTTTATTTCTTACACTTCATACTAAAACAGTATTTAAAATTATCATCTGAGTGTCACAAATTTAAAAATCACAGCGACTTCAGAAAATAGTCATTTTCTGATTCTCATCAGCACTAGGTGATATCCTAAAGTAGAAGATACAGATTTTCATTTGCATGTTGTTCCTTCTGTGACAGTGTCCATGCTTTGAATATAACCTCATTGTTCCCATCCTAGGCAGAGTTATGTCCTTGAGCACACGCCCACCATAGGAACAAAGTAATCCAGACTTTGGGGATGGTATCAGAAGATCTCAGAAATTATTATCCCAAATTAACAAGTGAATTAAAACTCCAACAGACAATGCATGGAATGAAATCTTTGAATCACCTCTTTTATAGCCCCCAAGAAGCTGATGGGCTGAATCACAGCCTTGGGGACAGAAGTCCCCTGTGTTTCTCCTTTGCTAGCAAAGCAATAAAACTTCTTTTTCCTTTTTCTCAAAACCATGTCTCACAATTGGATTAGTATTGGGAATAAGGACTGAAGTTTCAGCAACATTTCAAGTTAACAAAAAATTTCTACTTTCAAAATTAACCAATAGTTATGATTACCTAAAAGCATTGCATAGAGCAAAACCCTGAAAAGCGATATACAAATAATAGTCAATGAAGGTAATGATATCAATAGATGATGAAGGTAATGATATGGTATCTAATTTTTTTGGATGTGTGGATTGTTATGATTATTTTTTATTTTTCATTTTTTTAGTTAGAGATGGAGACACAATATCTTTATTTATTTGTATGTGGTGCTAAGATCAAACTCAATGCCTTACACATGCCAGGCAAGTGCGCTACTGCTGAGCTACAACCCCAGCCTTGTTATGATTATAATTTTAAAATGTATTAAAATTAATGAGTGCAAAGTTACCTACAGTCAAATAGAAGCAAAGTCTGGTGTGCTACTGCACAGCAGGATAACTATAAATAGCAATAAGAGACTGTACATTTTAAAAAGTTATAATTTTGTAAGTTTTTACCATATAGAAATGATAACGTGTTTGAAAGGATAAATATGTTTAAACTAACTTAAACATTTCACAATGTACAGGTGGATTGAAATATTATGTCGTACCCAATTAATATGTATAATTTTTATGTATCAAAATGAATTATTAAAAGATTATAGTAATAAAAATAAAGTATATTAGACTTGTAAGCTAAGATTAAAATGTTTCTATTTAAAAAGTCCAAAAGGCAAACACTTTTAAACTTCTGACTTTCCCAACCAAGTGTCTACAAAAAAAACAAATACAAAAAGAAAAGAAGTCCTAGTTCTTATTTTTGGCTAGGGTTGTATGTGGTTTTGAATTTAACAAGAAGCATTAGACGTCATTATCTTGGAGTTACATTTACACGCGCCATTAAATGTTTCTGAACTTCTGAACCAAAACAATAAACAAAAAACCTGTGTGTGAGAGGAAGGTTGGGTGGGGTAGGAGTGGGCAGAGGGGTGCCAGGATAATACCAGAAAGACATAGCTACTGGAAAAGTACTGCGGAATCCCAGAGCCCTGCTCTGTTAGGTAAGCACCTGAGAAAATCACCCCACATCAGTGTTTCACCATGCAAATAATTGGGGCTACATAATCCTTTTTTTAATCTATCTGAAGTCTACATAATTTGCTTTGGATATGCCAAGTCAGGGTAATAAAAGTCAAAATTAATACTTTTTCTCAGCTGTATGTCCTCCAAAAAATAAAAGTGGGAAGTTTCTCTTATTGAATCATGTCAACTCCTAAACACAGTAACTAAAGAAAGATACTCCTCCTTCCACTTCTCCTCCAACTCCTTATTCTTCTTTCCACTTACACAATTCTCTTGATTAATGATCCTGGGGGTGGGGGGGATAAAAAAGGCTTTCATTTCCCCCCAAAAAGGGAACATATTAGCCCTGAAGAAATAGGAATTAAAATTGGAACACCAAGACCCTGGGGGAACCCTTCTGTCTCTAACACAGAGCCACACTTCAATTTGAAATTTTGTTATAAATGATGAGCCTAATAAATTGAGACTAAGGCTCCCTCAGACATGAAGTTAGATAAATTTGAATGGAGGAAAAATGTTCCTTCAGTATTAAATACCATTTTTTGCATTATTTTAAAAATATTTGTGAAGAAAATTGTTTAAGGTAGACTCAGGGCAGAAAAGACTGTGTAATCATTCCAGAGAGTCACACTCAAAATTTCTTCAAACCTGTTCATAGCTATCAAAGACACCATCCTGCCATCCTGTCTCTTCTAACCACCCAGAAATTTGGAAAAAAAAAAATGCAAGTTACAAAGAAAATGTTGAATTATTGTTAATGTTAGCAAGCTCTTGTAATCATCAATTCTAAGCTTGTAAACTAAGAATTTGGATGGTTTTCAAATATCTACCATAAAAATGAATTCAAAGCAAGTAAATGTATGTTCTTACTCCTGCTTTTGGCTTTATTTTAAACATTCCTGTCAAATTAAGAGACTATTCACCTATACTTATTTAGTGGTTAAGGAGTAGTTCCAGTTCCCTAAAAGCAACTCATGGATGAAGTGGACAAGCAATACCGTGGTAGCTACCATTTTGTGAGAACAATTTCTGTTCCATGGTTATAAATATGGGCATAGAATCCAGGCTTGGCCAAAAATATCCATCTCTCTTACTGCAATATATTGGAATATGACCTGAGCTGGAATATTTCTGAAGAGAAGTACAACTACCTACTCTCATCTGTTGGAAGTAGGAAAGATGTGACCCTAGAACAACTGGCAGACATGTCCCCAAATCCTCATGCAATAAAAGGGAATATACAGAAATGAGAGACATTTATAAAGTCTTAGTCTGATCAAGCTGTTTTCGTTCCTAAGAAAGCCCGATTGGCTCTGTGGTCTGAAAAATCTCCCTTGGATTTTATAAAGTACTTAGTTTCCTTGTTTACATATGCTGTCTCCTACTACACGGAAATCAATTACACATGATGGCAGAGTGGAATGTGAATGGCACATTATTAGCGCTTTTAGAAGTAGGTAAGTTCCATATGACAGCCATTAGCTGCATGTGGTTACTGGCACTTAAAATGTGGTTAGAATGTGAAACTCTATGAAGTAACTTCTTTAAGAAAGGGATTATTTTTATAAAAAGTTGGTAGGTGTTATCAACAAAACAAATGGGATCAAGTTTTGTTTTGTTTGAGTCAAGGGGATCCTTGATATATCCCTTTCCTAGAGAATTTATTTCAAAGAATAGAGAAAAAAATTGTCCAATTTGTTTTTGTGAATCTAGTGCCGAAGTTAGCAAACATTTTCTGTAAAAAGCCAGGCAGCAAATATTTTAGGCTTTATGGCCACACGGTTTCTATTCAGTGTTCTGTGTGTGGGGTGTGTGTGTGTGTGTGTGTGTGTGTGTGTGTGTTAGACCTTTTAAAAGTGTAAAAAGTATTCTGGACTCCTGTGTAGCTCTGCAGCCTCTATCTAGTAGTATTGTTGCCGAAAGCCTTGTCCTGGATGCCAATCCAATTGCAATGACAGGGTTTTGAGAAAAAGGAAAAAGACAGTTTACTGCTTTCCTAGCCAAGGAGAAACACCGGAGACTCCTGTCCCAGAGGCTGTGATTCTGCCCATCAGCAGGACCAGGGGCTTTTTTAGAGATGATTTAGAGAAAATGAGATTAGGGAGGAGAGATCAGGAAGGAGAAGATCAGTAGAAAAGAAGTAAAAACAAGGACAATGAGAATCCAATTTTACATAAAACTTAGATAAATGCATGCTAAAGTGTTAAGAAAAGTCCTAAAAGTATTAACAAATTATTCAAAGTATTTAATGACCCATAATAATCTAATCAGGCATATCTCAGAATAAAAAGACAATTAAACAATAGCCATTCAGCATAACCTTTTAATTATGTATTGTTTGTAACTACATTATTTGAAATTTATACACTGGATTTTACAAGATATGAGATTTACATTTTTAAAAATTCTTAAAATGTATAATTACATAATGAAAAGATGTTAAAATTATAAATATTTTCATGTAATTTTATAACCATTTTATACTATTTTACATATGCATATATAATAAAATATATACTCATATGCCAGTCAACATTTTATTAGACAAAAGGACAAGGGAAAAAAAAGATAAGAATCACAAAAAAAGGTAAACAATTTTTGTTATTCACAGAAAAGATTATTGTCTTAGTGGAAACTCCAAGTTACCAAAAATAATGAGGATATTCAAAAGGTTGCTGAATATCAGATCCTTATAAAAAATAAATTTCTAAAAACATAAAAATCATAAAGTATAATTTTTATAAAAGTATCTATGGTAATTGAAGGAAATATGGAGTACCTAAAAAAGTTTAATGAAAATTAT